AGAACGCTTCCTCAGAAAGGGAATTCCTGTATCGGGACATAAATGCTGAGTAAAATATGGCCAAACCAGGGTGGCTCGCACACATGTACACACACAGTTCTTCAAGTACCACCACTTTGTCTGTAACAGTTCAGGAAGCAGATACTGAAAACAGTCAACTCCAGAGAGTTAGCTCAGTAATATCTTAAACAGAAGAGTGATATCTCCCAAGTGACCTGTCCCACTAAATTCTTTCCCTTGCTTTTCTAGAGAAGCATTTCACAAAGCACCTATCTAGCACAGTTGGATAGGATAGAATATATCAGTAAGATACAGATAAAAATAAACTTGAATTTTAAGATCCAAGCTTTTGTTTGACAGTTAATTTTTTTTTAAGCTGTTACAAATAACTGAGGCTGCTTTTTTTTTTTTTTAAACAGCAGCAGAGGGGCAATAAGCAATAAAGATTATTTCAGTTCTCACTAGAGAGAATCCTTTAAGGTTAGCCACTTTTACCTGCTGGTCTCTTATCACAGACATGGAAGCTCATTCTATTTTGAGGGCTTCCTATTTCAAGGACTAAGCTAAAATACAGGTTTGCAATTGCCTTTGCCCACTAGCATCTGGGTTTATTCAGACTGTTGGGAAAGAAACAAGATCCTACAACATTTTTCATCTTCAAAAGTATCTTTGTTGGTTTTGGAGATACCTGAAAGAAATGCTAATGAACAACAGTTTTACAACTCACTCTCCTTCCCAACACAACCACTGTGCTTTGAAAGCAACCCTAAGAGGTTTTTCTAGTAAACTGTCACTCCACGCATAACAATGAGTAGTGAGCTCATCTTCCCCTAAGTGGGTCATGGGATGCTTAACCATGGGATGCTTTTAAAGCAGTATTAAACTTTTAAAGACATCACATTTTCTCCTGGTGTGAGAAGTTGCAGCCTGATAGCAGCTGGGGACTTTGAACTGAAACGCACCCAGCTGGAACTTTGGCAGAAAGAGATGCAATGATTAATTCACATCTGCAGCAACATATAGCTGCAAACAGAAGAGGCCATAGGGCTAGCTGGAGACAATCATAGCACTGTGAGGCACTGTTTGTATTTACAGCCTCCTCTAAGATAATATTAAGAACATATGCAGAACCTCTGGTTAACCCTATGGCTCTTGCTACATTTGGCCCACATCAGACAAAACCCACAAATGACTAAAGCACATACACCCTTACAGCCCATTTACATTCTCTTTGATGTCAGCAGCATATGCACCTTGTACTGGGTACAGGGAAAGAAGTTTTATGTCCAGCAGTTTCTCTCAATTTCATTTAAATATTTTTGACTTTATTACTGCTTTCTCTGACAAAGAGTTGTCTGGCATCAACTGTTCCTTCCTGCAAATGCAGTACACTGATAACAAATTACCTCCCAGTTTTCCTTTTGGTAATAGTTCAGTAGTGTCTGCTTCACCACCACTCCAACCACCTCCACTGTCTGTCCAGAAAAACAAACCTGGAAATACGGACCAGGGGCCATTCTCCAGCAAACACAGGACCTCAGCTTGAATGCAGTATTATGCAGATTGGACAGGGCTGGGACAAGACCTCCACATCAATAGAAATCGGTTCAATCTGTGAGCTTTAGGAAGTTAATAGGGGAGCCATATTATGCTAGTTTCCCTTTATGGTTAAGGAAAGGCAGCACTTCCAAGGATGACCCAAATCTCAGGTGAGCTGAATTACCTTCTGGAAGTATTTATCTT